CCTTAAAAGAGAGAGCAATTTGAGGCCATTGGTACTGTTTTGAGGCAGGGATTAAGGGCTGTCTATTAGGGCCACTGACAAAAATAGTCTGTTCTTAGCTTCAACAGAAATAAAGGTTTTGCCTGTCATGACCGGCTTCAGCACTAGGCCAGCACTGTGGTTTGCCAACCAGTCTCTGCAGCGATATGCGCTGCGCTATGTTCTTCAGAAGATTTGCAAAGTGGTCATGACCAGTGGGCATTGTTTAAGAATTTCTGCAGTGAATTCGGGTTTTAATCTCCTAGCAGGTCTGTTTACAGATGAGTCATTAATTTTTTTTAATCATTCAGATTTTGTTTTTTATCTTAAAGGAGCAGCTCGCCATTGCTCTTGGCATGTGGTGATTTGCCAAGTAGGCATTGGCACGGTTCCCTTCATTGGGCCAGCATCTTACTCGCCTTGGCAAAGCTTTCTTTCTTCTTCGTCCTGCCCATCAAATCCATTTCCGGGTCCTGCTGGAATTGGCTTCTCTTTCCAAACCCACAGCCCTCCCTCTGCCTGCTCTAGGTCCCACTCTGTATTGCTGCTGTACAGTTTCCCTTTCTGCAGGTTCTTTCTATTCCAGAATGTTCTACCTACATCTGTAAGAATAATTTTCAGACGCAGTTTGCATTACACAACACACTGTTCTAGAACCGGCGGTGGGAGGGGACCATTTCTTACCTCCATGTGCAGCTTCCATTTCTCAGACGATCTCACAAGCCTTGCCCCTCGACTCCCTTCAATATCCTGATGCCACCTAAGGCAGCTGTTTCAAGGAGACAGACCCCCTTAAAAGGTGAACCCTAACTAAAAAAAAGGTTTAAGAAGCCCCCCAAAGCTTTTCCATGCTTCAGCTATACACGATTCATTTAACAAATTGTAGCCACTCAGAGTAGTGCATGGAATCACAACCATTTGGTACATTCCTCTGGGAACGTGGTTTTATTTAACTGTCTCTGGCATCGCATCTCTGCAGGGAGGAAATCAGACAGCTACAGTGATCGCATTGTGTTCAATGAGGGATTTCAACTTAGCTCAGGAGACCTGCCAGTTGGCAATCAGAGATGTCGGAGGCCTGGAGGTGTTAATAAATTTGCTTGACACAGATGAAGTCAAATGCAAGGTGAGTGGCTCCATCCCAATGTACAAGGGGTCGCATTCCCACCTTCTTGTGCTCTCTTCTCGGTTGCAGGTGTCTGCCTCTCCTTGCTACCTGTTTCCTGTCGTTACCTGCTGTCATTGCTGGTAACCAGCCTGCTGCTTTCGTGAGCTGCGCTTTCTCTTCTTTCGGCTTTTCCTCTTTCTCTTGCTCTTCCTCATTCACCTCTGATGCATGTGTGTTTACCTATGTGGAGGAAAACATGGAGGGTGTGTGTAACCACTGGGGGTGAAAACTACTTCTGAAAAAACTTAACTGGGGAAGGATTTTAGGAAGCCTTGGAATTTTCAAAAAACATCGCACCGGTTATGTATTCAACACTCATTCATCTATAACTTTTTTTCCTCATGCAGATTGGTTCATTAAAAATCCTGAAGGAAATCAGTCATAATCCCCAAATCAGACGTAGTATTGTTGACCTTGGGGGGTTACCAATTATGGTGAATATACTCGATTCCCCACACAAGAGTCTGAAATGTTTGGCGGCTGAGACCATCGCCAATGTCGCCAAGTTTAGAAGAGCCCGCCAGGTGGTGAGGAAGCATGGAGGCATCACCAGACTGGTGAGTGGCACTGATGTCGCAGTCGCCAGCAGGGCATGCCAGGGAAAAGAAGAAGAGGGAGAGGAAGGGGAGGGGAGTGGAGGGGAGGGGAGGGGACTCCCTGCTGTCCTTACTGGCCTCTCCGGACATTCCACAGCCATATCGGCATGTTCTGGGAATCCTGTTTTTGTGTCACATGTCCTTAAGAATTATTTTTGCATATTACATCAGTCAGTGGCCAAGAAACATGTTCACACTCATTTTTCAAAGAAATAGAAGATTTTTAAAGTAGATGTGATTGTCACTACCTACGACATTGGGAGGGTTGGGTTCGTGTGCATGTTTCGGGACAGTAAGAGACAGTGAGACCTGCGCACTGCAAAGTGGTCTGTTTCTCGTGGCCTCTGTTGTGGTGACCCCATGTGAGGACTCACTCCCATGGGGACAGTCAGAGCTGCAGGCTCTTGATCATCTGATTGTTAGTGGGAAGACTGAGGTGTTTAACAATTTGTGATCAATGAGATACTCTGCAGTATAACTGTAAGAAACATCTACAGTCAACTATCGCTATTGTGTTTTGGAAGTATATTTAGTAGCAAGGAATAAAGTGTGTAATATTTAAGATTATATAACATTATGTAACATCACAGCAAAATTTAAAACTGTTGATATTTATGATCCCTATTTTTAAAGACCTGCCCTACCAGTAGAGGGAAAAAAAACCCACTAGAAATAAACACACAAAATTGCTCTTGGGGGTTTTCTCTGAAATGATTATGGATTTTTCTTCTAGTTTTTCTACATTTGCCATTTTGTCTTCTATGTATGTCTTACTTTTATAATCAGAAAAAGTGATTTTTTAAAAAATAATTGTTACCAAAAGAAAAACAATCAGAATTCTGCTCACCACCTTTGCCATGTCAGGACGTTAATAAAAGGTAATGCAGTGTAGAAGTGTGTTTTCGTTCTGCGTAAGGATGGATAGATCTTGTGTCTCCCCAGCTTTTATCTTACTGGGCTGTCTCCACTTCTGCACTTCAAGTTCTTCACATGAGGGGCGTGTCTTACTCATCTTGTGTCTTCCCCAGCACTGAGTGCAGCGCTTTACAGATATAAAAGGTTAAGAAATATCCATTGGATTAATAAGGATTTTAATATGAATATGCAAACTGAGAAATGGGCTCAGAAGTTTACTAAAAGAGATTCTGTGCTTTGTTATTTGTAAAGCACTGTAAATGTCATTATTTGCTTCAAAAATGAGATGGACTCATGGTTGGATGGATGGATGAATAGATGGTTAGATGCTGATAAAAGAAATATGACAGATTGTTAGTTCTAGAATCTAAATGGCGGATATATGGATGTTTGCTGTGTAATTGCTGCACAATTATTTCAGCTTTTCTGTGTTTGAAAATGTTCATAAATAATGTTGGGGAAAATATAATTATTACTATGATTATCATCTGCTTAAATAATGAAATAGTTTGGTAGGCTAATGTGGCTGTCCGCTGAAACTACTCCCATTAAATATTAAGAATGGGTGATGTAACATAAAACTAAAATGTGTTTTTATGACAATCTTATGTATCACTTTTGGGGACCTAGCACAGTAAGTCCTCACTTAA